GCAGTAGTGAGGTTGGCCCAGGATTGGACATTGTTTTGTTCTGCTGTGCATGGGTCGCTATGAGTCAGTTCCGACTCTGTGGCACCTGACAAGTCTGTAAGTCTTTAAGAAAGCAGACAGCCTCATCTGTCTTCCAAGGATCAGCTGGTGGGTTTGAACCTTGTAGTTAGTAGCCCAATGTCTAACCCACAGCACTTCCAGAGTTCCTTAGGAGTACTGTTTGCTGTTGTTGTTGTTTTATATCGTAAAGTCAGTTCCAACTCATAGTGACCCTTCTTTATAGGGTTTCTGAGGAGGGGTTTTTGGGTTTGAACTGATAACCTTGCAGTTAACAGTACAGAGCTTATTCTACAGCCCCACACCAGGACTCTTAGGAGTACTATATGGGTTCTTCTCTCTTTCATAACCTGGAGTGTTATGAAGCACTTACTAGACCCACCTGTCTTTCTTCTGAAACTCTAGACAGGGTCACTATGGGTTGGAAATTGACTCAACAGCACTGAACAACACCATAGAGTCCTGGTGTGGGGCTGTAGGACAAGTACTGGGCCGCTAACCCCAAGGTTGATGGTTTCAACCATTCAGTCACTCCATGGAAACCCTACAAAGGGACACTATGAAGTAGAACCAAATCAACAGCATTTAACAGCAGCAACAAATGGTTCTGACTCATAGCGACCCTGTTTAGGGTTTCCAAGGAGTGGCTGGTGGGTTTGAATTGTCGACCTTGTGGTTCAAACCAACCTTGCAGTCCAATATTTTATCCCACAGTGCCACATCAGGACTTAACAACATGAGAAATGGAGAAAAGATAGAAACTGTCAGACTTCAATTTTCTTGGACCAATCAGCAACACTCATGGAAGCAGCAGTCAAGAAATCAAAGATGTATTGTATTAGATGAATCTGCTGCAAAAGACCTCTTTAGAGTGTCCAAGAGGAAAGATGTCAATTTGAGGACTAAGGTGTGTCTGACACAAGCCATGGTATTTTCAGTCACTTCATATGCATGTTCAAGTTGGACAATGAATAAGGAAGATTGTAGAAAAATCAATACATTTGAATTATAGCATTGGAGAAGAATATTGAAAATGGACTGTGTTGGAAGAAGTACAGGCAGAATGCTCCTTAGAAACAAGATGGCGAGACTTTGTCTCTTGTACTTTGAACAAATTATAAGGAGGAACCAGTTCCTGGAGAAAGACATCAAGCTTGGAAAAGTGATGGGTCAATGAAAAAGAAGACCCCAATGAGATGTACTGACACAGTGACAGCAGCAATGTGCTCAAAGGTAACAAGAATTGTGAAGGTAACACAGGACTGGGCGGTGTTTTGTTCGGTTCTGCACAGAGTCGCTATGAAGTTGATTGATTTGATGGCACATAATAACACCATAGGAGTACTATAGGAGTATACTTCCATGCTGTATAGGACACACAATGAACTGCTAACCGTAAGATCAGTGGTTCAAACCTACCAGCAGCTCCTTGGAAACCCTATACAGGGTCACTATGAGTTGGAGCTGACTACACGGCACTTAACAGCAATAACATAGAAGTAATATAGTGGGTTATGTATTGGATTGCTAACCACAAGGTCAGCAGTTCAAATCCACCAGCTACTCTGTGAGAAAAAAATAAGGATTTCTGCTCCCGAAAAGATTCCCAATCTTGGAAACCCTCTACTGGTCACTAGGAATCTGAATATATTTGATGGTACAGAATACAGCAGCAACGGTATGGGCGTACTAGCTTGTTAAGTGTCATCGAGTTGGTTGTGACTCATAGTGACCCTGTATAGTGTTTCTGAGAAGTGGTTGGTGAGTGTGAACTGCCAACCTTGGGGGTAGCAGTCCAGTGCTTATTTTACAGTGAAACACCAGGAGTACTGTGTTATTGTTGTTTAAGTGCCTTCGAGTTGGTTCTGACTTGTAGTGACCCTGTGTAGGGTTTCTGAGGAGTGACTGGTGGGTTTGAACTGCCAACCTTGCAGTTCAAACTGACCTTGCAGTCCAGTGCATTATCTTGCAGTGCCACACCAGGAGTACTATGTGGTTGTTGTTAAGTGCCATCGAGTCAGTTCTGCCCCATATCGATCCTGTATAGTGTTTCCTAGAAGTGACTGATGGGTTTGAATGCCAATCTTGTGCTTCAAACTGACCCTGTGGTCCAGTGCATTACCTGGAAGTGCCACATAGGGTCTAAAAGGAAAGCGCTTGTCCTACAGAGCATGCAACTGTACTCCTATAGTATTGTATCATACCCGGCTCAAAGGAGAGAAGAAGCCAATAGCACTGCCATTGCGTTATGACTCATGGGACCCCACAGGACAGGGAGAACTGCTCCATAGGGTTGTTGTTGGTGGTTATGCTCGGTGGAGCCGGTTCCGACTCTTAGTGAACCTGTACAGGGTTTCTGAGGCTATACATATTTATGGGAGCAGAAAGCCTCATCTTTCTCCCACGGAACTGCTGGTAGTTTTGAACTGCTGACCTTTAGATTCACAGTCCGATTCATAACCACTATGCTACCAGAGCTCCATAGGGTTACAAGGCTGTAAATCTGCCATGGCTTTCTCCCATGGAGCGGCTGGTGGATCTGAACTGCATGCCTTTCAGTTAGCATCTGAATGTTTTAATCACTTCACTACCAAGACTCCCTAAAGAGAGAAGAAAGAGAGATTAAGGGGGCTCTAGTTCAGCAGGATATTCTTAGGAGGCCTGGTCCCAGAGAAGAGCTCATCCAAACCTCATCCAAGACTTCCCAGCTGCCACTTCTCAAGCCTACACTGACCTCTTCGAAGCACAAGCTATTTCACGCATCTGTCTGTGTTTTGAGCCATGTCATTTCTGAGGAAAGGATTATCCTCAGTGAGGAGAAAATAGAATTTTAGGATGTAGTCCACATTTAACAGGGTCAGGGATGCAAGATGTTTCTTGAGATTTTTCTGGATATGTAAGGAAATTCTTAGCCTAGTATTCAGTCCTGGTTGGATCCTGAATGGGTTATGAGTTAGAAGAAGATTAAAAAAAAAATTAAAAATAAAACAATATTCAACCCAGGAGCACTGGTAGCATAGTAGTTACGAATCAGGCTGCTAACCTCAAGATCAGCAGCTTGAAACTACGAGCTGTTCTGTGAGAGAAAGATGAGGCTTTCTGCTCCCGTAAAGATTTACAGCCTCAGAAACCCTCTACAGGGTCCCTATGAGTAGGAACTGATTCCATGGGATTTAACAACCACAACAACATTCAATCCTGGAAGAAAAGTGGCATGCAAATAGAGACAAGGATATTGGTCATTGTCAAAGGAATGTGTGGTACATTTCCTAAAGCGTGCCCCATGTGGTCCTTCTTCCTAAGGATCAGAGCTTCACTTTAGAAAAAAAACGGTCTAAAGGGATTGATGTCTGTCTAATTTACGTCTGATGGCTAACTTCTCTCAGGAGAACCAGTGATCTACAAATGAGTCACCACCTACCACTAACTCCACCAGGGCTCCTATGGTAATGCCAATGAGTTACTCATCCTCAATTTTATAAAAGAGCAGAGGTGGTAGAGAGGAAGGAAGAGATGCTTTTACACGATTTCCCCCAGCACCCTGCAAAGTCAGATGCATTACCTTGCTCCAGTTTCCCACTTTCCAGCCGGCACAGGGACGGAGGTGGCATTTCTTCGCAGGGTCAGGCTTCTGAGTGGCCACACAGTCTGAATCAATGTGGGTGCTGCACTCCACACTCCTCCAATAGGCGCCCAGTCCACACGTGGTGGAGCACTGTGACAGGGAGGCAGGAGTGAGAAGACAAGTTGAGACTGCTTTCTCAGATAGACCCCACGGCTGCTGCCCTGGAGTGGTTTGATCACTAAATTACCCACAAAGCCAATTCCACTGTTGTCAAGTTGACTCTGACCCCAGTGTGAAAGAAAAGAACTGAGCACCACCGGGTTTGCATGGCTGTAACATTTATGGAGAAAGATGAGGCTGTCGGCTCCACTACAGTTTTAAAGTCTTGGAAAACCGAAAGGCCAGCTCTGCTCCATTGTATAGTGTCACTCAGAGTCAGAGTTGACCTAATGTCAGTGGGATTTGGGGTTTACCTCCAGGTCTTTCTTTCCTGGCACTGAGTTCAAACCTCTAGTCTACTTATTAGTCAAATACAAACCATTTGTACCACTTAGGGCCAGAACTACCTTTAGAACTTTTTTTTTTTTTTAATTAAATGTTTTTATTTTGCATTGAGTGAAAGTTTACAGGGCACATCATCAGCTTCACATTCAACCATTCATA